AAGTAAGCCACTCTAAGTTGTATTCTCAGTAATATCTTTTTGCAAGGTATTTTAAAATATTTGTTTTCTTGTTACCTGACATTTTCTAGTTGGAGCCTTAAACAATCTGTAGGCATGCCTGCCCTTCAATCTCCCATTCTACATCGCAGTCCTTTATTGATTTAAAATCATCCTTACTTATAGCTTCATTATTTTATTATTATTTGTTCTGCCTGTTTTAGCTTCTCTATCTGTATTTTTAAACTACTGTACGTAAATTTGCCTAGCAAAACCACACAACAGCCAGGGGCTGTTGGGGTTGGTTCTGCAACTTCCTGTAAAGCATACACAAATAACCTTTAATCTGCATTTGTATTACCCTCAATTCCCACATGCACTGATACCCATATAATTAGTACTGAGCATTCTCTTGTTTTTAGATAAGTTGTGGCCAAGAAAATCTCCTCTGTGATGTCATTTCTACTACACATCCTGGTATTAGAGCCATTACCATAGACAGGAAGACTGTTTAAACGGTCAACCTTTGGGGAGGAAGGAAAGGGGGCGGGAGGGGTATCATACACAATTTCTAGTGCCTTCAGAACAGCAGAAAATATTGAGATGTTTCTTGTCCCGCTGAAATTCTTGTTTAGTTTTTATTTAAGGATGTATATTCCTATTCCTAAACGGTCGTCTTCCCTTTTGTTCCAGTCCCTGTATGTGACTAATGGCTTCTTCTTTCAGTATTTCCAGAATTGCCTTCTTATTATTTTATTATTCAACTGCTAGTTAATGGTCAATTTCTGGCCTTATAATTTCCCAAGGTGGGTTACATGGGTGTATTTTTTAAGTTTTGATAAAAAAGTATTGTAGGTTTCTGAATTTTTCAATTCCAACAAGATGTTACGTGTTATAACTAATATTTTTGTATATCATGTTGGTTAGTTAGTTAGTCGCCAGATTATCCTCATTGCACGTCGAACCACTCAGGCCATAAGTGCTCGGATCCCCTCCTCAGTAAATCCCGCAGCGTGTAGCGGCTAACGACACCAGTTGTGTTGACTTATTCTTTTTCTTTGACTACTCGCGTAGTGTTCTTGTTTGGCGACACCCCGTTTAACAAGTTGTTCTTGCAGTCTGACCATGGTTGTAGATTCACAGTTCTCAGTTGGTTCTTGCAAACGTCTTAACTTTCTTACAGCATTCAGTATATCAGCCTGGTCCATGGATTTTCCAGCTTTCACAGTAGCCTTACATGCAAGCGTATCAGCATGGTCCTTTCCTTGTAACCCCACATATCCTGGCAAGAAAATGAAACTAATCCTTGTCAGCTGTGAATTCTGTAGAGCCACCAACCACTGCCTTCAGACCCAGCCCTTCTCTATCTTCCTGAGCATACTCATCGAGTTACTGAGAAAGCTTACCCCGGTGAAACTCTGTGTCTCTAGCCATGTTACTGCTTTAGTCACAGCCATGACCTCCATAGTTAGACTACTTGTAGTTACTGAAAAAGCTCCAGAATCTTCCTTCACAACTCTTCCTCCAAACTTAGCCGTGAAAGCCCACGAGCTTCTAACGTGGCGGATTACAATGACTGGCCATCTGTGTGAATGATAGCATCACCCTCTAGAGCGTTCTCGAAAATCAAGGCTTGAACTTCTGCTTCTATAGCATCATGTTGGTTGTTTTCGCTTTAATGTACGTGAGCCCAGGTATATGGGGCAGTAAGGTTCAGGCCTCATGCCTTGTAAAATTAAAGTTGTGTATGCTGGGTAAATATTGTCAAATATTACTTGTATAGTATAATTTAATCTCAGCTTTTTTCTTCTAAGATTCAGGGGAGTTATTCCCATCGCTACTTCTAGTTCTCAGTAATGTTGTTTTTGGGGTGCCTGCCGCTATACAAAGGCCTTTGCTGCATTTGATCCAACTTACGTTTGCTACTTTTAGCTGTTGATTCACAGTTGAGGCTTCCATATTTCTCCTCTCATAAATGCCTTATAAATCATAAGCATCTTATTATTACTAGCACCCCAGCCATTTTCTTTTAGATATCTCAGCATGTTAACGTGATCTACGGCCAGTCTCTACCAAATTATCTAAGTGTTTATTCCGGTTAAGTTATTGATCCAGTGTCATTCTATTCCAGTTAAGTTGTTGATCCAGTGTCATTTTATTCCAGTTAAGTTGTTGATCCAGTGTCAATCTATTCCAGTTAAGTTATTTATCCAGTATCATTCTATTCCAGATAAGTTATTGATCCAGTGTCATTCTATTCCAGTTGTTATTGATCCAGTGTCATTCTATTCCAGTGAAGTTATTGATCCAGTGTCATTCTATTCCAGTCAAGTTGTTGATCCAGTGTCATTCTATTCCAGTTAAGTTATTGATCCAGTGTCATTCTATTCCAGTTAAGTTATTGATCCAGTGTCATTCTATTCCAGTTAAGTTATTGATCCAGTGTCATTTCCAAATATCTTGTAGTTTGTATTGTGTCTATTTGATGTCCATGTAAATTAATGTCAATTATTCTATTTTTAACTTTTCTTCCTTTACAAAATATCATACCAACTGTTTTTGTAATATTTAATTCAAATCTAAATTGTCTCGTTCATTTAGAAGTTTTATATGTATGGATCTAGAGATGTTTGTAAAGTTTACCCACTTTTTTTCCTGTCCTCTAAATAGCAGCAGCATCAGCATACTGCGATAGTTTATTTTTAAAGCCTGTATATTATCAGGAGCATAACCGAGCAGGGCACTCACTTGTCCTAAAAATCGAAAAGGTTACTGAAGGCTGAGGACGTAGTCTAAAGCCATGTGGATGTGGAAAGCAGCGGGAAACTACCACATTACTATCCTATATCATGGGGGTTTTAGACAGGGTAGAAGAATAGGGATCATATCTTTAATATGAGAATAATTTTTGAAAAATGCAGAGAATGCAGCGTAGATCTTCTTGCTAATTTTATTGATTATAGCAAGGCATTTGATTGTGTCCAACTGTGGACTATCATGAGAAGTATGGGGTTTCCAGCGCATTTAATTTAAAATCTTTATCATGAATAACAAGCAGCCATCAGAGTAGCTGGTGAAACATCGGATTGGTTCGAGGTGCAAAAGGGGGTGAGGCAAGGGTGCATTCGCTCACCATACCTATTCAATATATACGCAGAAAATATAATGAGAAATGTCAAAAATGACTAGACTTGTGACAGTTATGATCCGTTCAAAGTTGGTGGCAACCCTATTCCAGAACTTTGCTACGCAGATGACACAGTCCTTATTTCGAACAGCGTAAAGGGAATAGAAAATTTAATATTGTCTGTCCAAAAGCACAGTGAAGATCAAAATCTGTTCTTGAATTTTTAGAAGAACGAAAATAATGTCCACAGGTAAAATTGGTTGTCACTAAAAAAAAAAAAAAATGATAAAGAAATTGAAAATGTCACAAACTTTGAATATGTAGGCTCTAGAATAAACAGCAATGGAGACTGTTTGACAAAAATTAAAAGGAGAATGGCTAAAGCAATGCAAAGATTAAACAGCCTTAAAAGTCTACGGTTACGCAAGAAGATCAAAATTAGAATTGTGAGAGCATGCATCTTCCCTGTGGCTACATACGGATGTGAGTTGTGGACTATCTCTCAGTCCTTGAAAAAGAGAATAGGGGCTTGTGAGCTGAAATGCTATAGAAAGATTCTCAGAATATCTTGGACAAAGAAGAGGAGAAATACTGACATCTTGAAAGATCTGAACATCAAGGAAGATTCGCTAATAAACAGTATCCTGTACCCCCTCCCTCCGTGTGGGTTCCAGGACCCCATTGTGGGGGAAAACAAGAATAGACCCACTGCCTCCCCAAAAGCATGTCGTAAGAGTCGACTAATTGGGGAGCTTCCTTTGAAGTCGGAGTGCATCTGCCGGAGAGGCAAGAAACCAACAGTCTGTATTCAAGAGAATGAGATCTGTAAAACTGATGCACATGAAACACTCAGGTTCTGGAGCAGAGGGCATGGTACCAGGAAGTAGGGACAGGGGCTGACCGACACGAAGATGGGCACATGATAAAAGTGACTCCTTGAGTATGAAAGTACATGAGGCGGGAAAACTGGCGAAAGACCGAGTTTCTTTCAGGCAGACTGTGATGAGAGCGACGTTCTGCTACAATCCTACATGATGATGAGAATGTATATTCATCTCTATAATCATTGATCATGATGTTAAAAATTGTTGGTGATAATACAAAGAATGCTAGTTTCTTGTAGCAGCAATTCTAATTGTGCATTTTTTACTTTTACTGATGAAAAGCTTTCTTGTAATAAATTTTCCATAAACCAATGCATTTTTCATGAAAACCTAATCTTTTTAATTTTCTCCGGTATCTTTTGTTATTTAGTATATCCACAATAAAATGTCAACAATAAAAACAATTTGTATTATACGTTCACAGTTGTCTCTATGTCCTTCAATGAAACGAAACAAAACAATCATTTATCTGGGTCCAAGTTCAAAGTTCACCAACAATATAAGGCCAGGGCTGCCAATGCTGGGTTTTTACCCCCAGATGTGTGTTTTTTATTTGACGCCTTGGGTTCAAATTTTGAAATCTTGTTTTTCTTAAAATATCCTTATATAAAAGTGGGTAAATGTTTCATTTCATAACTATAAAATTTTTACTTTTCACCAATCTGGTTTTTTGTTTGTTTTTGTTCTATGCATATGTATTGCTTGTGTTTTTGTTGAGCTTAGCTGAGTTAAAAAAAATCTCATTGGCAGCCCTGTATACGGCGACTGTATAAATAAAATACAATTCCGAGACCCAGTTCGATCTCTGCACGAACTGAGAGCGTGCTTCAGCGACAACCACCAACGTATATCATTTATATTTTTGTTGAACTCATCACTGTATATTACTATGATATATGACTGATATTTCAGTCGTTTAAAGGGTATGGTTTGCTGGCGCTAACTATACTATTACTACTACTCTAGCAGTCGCAGAAGGCACCATCATCAACATGGAGAGGTTCGACGTCGACAGTTTCCAGAAACAGCTGCGTTCGTCGAAGATAGGACGCAAATTTGTTTATGTCGACGTCACAGGCTCTACAATGGATGACGCTAGACGCTTGGGTCATGAAGGTAAGGGCAAGCGGTATACTGTATATTAACATTATTCATCGTTATTATCATCATCATGGTCACGTAGCAGGTCCTTTGCAGAACGTCGCTCTCATCTCGTCTGCATAAGAGAAATTATGTCACTCGTCAGCACTCTCGTGTTGTGCACTTTCATATCCAAGTATATACAGTCTATGGTAGCTGTACATTCCATGGTAGCTGCACAGTCTATGGTAACTGCAATGTCCGTGGTAGCTACACTGTCCACACTAGCCACACATTCCATTGTAGCTGCACAATTCTTGGTAGCTGCACAGTCCACAGTAGACTCACAGTCCAGGGTAGCTGCACAGTCTAGGGTAGCTGTAGTCCATGGTAGCTACACTGTCCATGGTAGCTACACTGTTCATGGTAGCTACACTGTCAATGGTAGCTACATTGTCCATGGTAGCTACACTGTCTATGGTAGCTACACTGTCTATAGTAGCTAGACTGTCCATGGTAGCTACACTGTCCATGGTAGCTACACTGTCCATGATAGCTACACTGTCCATGGTAACTGCACAGCCCTGAATCCTCAGGGTCAAGACCCTATACCCCTGGGCTATTCAACTGGCTGCCCACTGGGGCCTAGCAAGCGGCCGGCGAATTATTTCCGGTTGTATTATTGATCTCTCTATCCTGCTGGGGCTTGGGTATCTGGCCAGGAATGACCCCTATTGTCAACATTTTGATCTCTTGAGGAAACTTAGCTGAAAAACCCTGCTCTACCCAAAACCACCCTAAAAAGTGGCAAATACAGGGAGTGAAGACAATTATTTTTTCTCAGCTTAAATTGTTAGCTAAACAGAACACATGCATGAAGGAAGTTATAACCATTGCAAGAACAGAACACATACATGAAGGAAGTTATAACCATTGCAAGAACAGAACACATACATGAAGGAAGTTATAACCATTGCAAGAACAGAACACATGCATGAAGGAAGTGATAACCATTGCAAGAACAGAACACATGCATGAAGAAAGTTATAACCATTGCAAGAACAGAACACATGCATGAAGGAAGTGATAACCATTGCAAGAACAGAACACATGCATGAAGAAAGTTATAACCATTGCAAGAACAGAAAACATGCATAAAGGAACTTATAACCATTGCAAGAACAGAACACATGCATGAAGGACGTTATAACCATTGCAAGAACAGAACACATGCATGAAGGACGTTATAACCATTGCAAGAACAGAAAACATGCATAAAGGAACTTATAACCATTGCAAGAACAGAACACATGCATGAAGGACGTTATAACCATTGCAAGAACAGAAAACATGCATAAAGGAACTTATAACCATTGCAAGAACAGAAAACATGCATAAAGGAACTTATAACCATTGCAAGAACAGAAAACATGCATGAAGAAAGTTATAACCATTGCAAGAACAGAACACATGCATGAAGAAAGTTATAACCATTGCAAGAACAGAACACATGCATGAAGAAAGTTATAACCATTGCAAGAACAGAACACATGCATGAAGAAAGTTATAACCATTGCAAGAACAGAACACATGCATGAAGAAAGTTATAACCATTGCAAGAACAGAACACATGCATGAAGAAAGTTATAACCATTGCAAGAACAGAACACATGCATGAAGAAAGTTATAACCATTGCAAGAACAGAACACATGCATGAAGAAAGTTATAACCATTGCAAGAACAGAACACATGCATGAAGAAAGTTATAACCATTGCAAGAACAGAACACATGCATGAAGAAAGTTATAACCATTGCAAGAACAGAACACATGCATGAAGAAAGTTATAACCATTGCAAGAACAGAACACATGCATGAAGAAAGTTATAACCATTGCAAGAACAGAACACATGCATGAAGAAAGTTATAACCATTGCAAGAACAGAACACATGCATGAAGAAAGTTATAACCATTGCAAGAACAGAACACATGCATGAAGAAAGTTATAACCATTGCAAGAACAGAACACATGCATGAAGGACGTTATAACCATTGCAAGAACAGAACACATGCATGAAGGACGTTATAACCATTGCAAGAACAGAACACATGCATGAAGAAAGTTATAACCATTGCAAGAACAGAACACATGCATGAAGAAAGTTATAACCATTGCAAGAACAGAACACATGCATGAAGAAAGTTATAACCATTGCAAGAACAGAACACATGCATGAAGGACGTTATAACCATTGCAAGAACAGAACACATGCATGAAGGAAGTTATAACCATTGCAAGAACAGACAAACCAATCATGATATTCAAAGAAAATCAACTCAGGCAAGCAAAAAACTTGAAGTATCTGGTGAGCATTATATCATCCAGTGGAAAAAATAGAAGCAGAGATAGAACACAGATGTAAGAAGTCCAAACAGATCTTCGGACAGATGTTACCTTCTTTGTAGACACACGTGTAACAATCAATACCAAAACAACACTATTCAATCCATAATTCTCTTTATCAACATTGTTTTTAAGTGTCAAACATGGAAATTAACAACAGAAGAAAAAACAAATTTGAAACAAAAATAAAATGTCTATGACAAATCCTAAATGTACTAGAAGAGACAAGACAGGATCAGAAATAACTATATAAGGAAAGAATCTGCGGTGGAACCAGTAATCAACTACATCAAGAGACAACAGATCACATGGTTTGGACATTGGTAAAGACTACCACCAGTAGTGCACCACAGAGAGCCCTGTCACTTAGATATAACAGAAGAACTAGAGGTCTACCACGCAAGTGATAGGTAGATGCAATATCCAAAGCTGTAATTGCCAGCACGTACCAAGGCTGGCACCTGATGCCTTTTGAAAACATGACACTGAAAGGTAGAACAGGACGGGAGAAGAAGCATGAAGGATAATTACAGTATTATTGATTCGGTTTCATTACTGATGATTCTGATTTCTGTCTGTTGCACAGTGAAAGAATATCCTCATGGTACAGTTGTGATGTCTGAACGACAGACAAAAGCCAGAGGAGCCAGAGACCACAGGTGGGATGCCACCAACACTGGAAACATTTATGCTTCTGTAGTTTTACATATGCCACCTTTCGGCCGGGTAATATTTTAATCGTTTTGTTGTTGTTTAACTGCCAAAGTCCAGGAGGGGGGTGCACACATACAAACACATGCATGTGCACGCTATAATGCCAAAATGTCCAACATCATTTCTCTTTTTCCCCACTACATCTCGTCCCCTTTAACTTTTTGTTGCCATGATGTACTTCAATCTTCCCATTTTAATGTGTACAAAGAATATGCATTTCTTTCTACCAATAGGTAACCAGTTCTCCTTTTGAATTAATTTATTTCAAACTTTCTTCGTTATGCTTGAGGTCGGGTCAGTGTCGGAGGTCGGGTCAGTGTGGGAGGTCGGGTCAGTGTGGGAGGTCGGGTCAGTGTCGGAAGTCGGGTCAGTGTTGGAGGGCAGGTCAGTTTAAAAAACACATTTGAGTGCAGATTCACAGCGTGACCATCAGGCAACATCTAGCAGTAGAAGCAGATTTTGGACAAAAGAAAGAAAGCCCTCAAGCTAGCATCAGACCTGTATACCAGCTTTTCATGGGAACAATTAGTAGAAGTACTTTGGAGTGGCTGCTTCATCAGAGGACTGAACACTCATTGGAATTCCCAATGTGCAGTGACATCGATTGTGATAACAGAAAATTACATAACATCTTGTAGGGAGTTGGCAGTCCAAAACCAAAGTTCAAGGTGTCTCCTTTGTGCCAAAGAACTGCATGGCTGTTGGGTGAACAGTCGTTAACGAAGGCAGTCTGGTCATTGTAGGGGCAACGCTTGCTGGTGGATTTAATGTCCTAAGTCCCTTCCCCAGCTAATAGTGAGGGTACAGCTAGGGTGACTATTTATTAACCCTCACATAATGCTTCAGGTCAAAATGGACGCTAGGCACGGCCACTTCTTTTAGCCTTGGCAAATTTTTTTGCTTCTGTCAGACGGTGGCCGTTGCATTTTTGCTCCATTTGTAGACTGGAAGGATATAGTTTCATTGCCCAGCTTCTGAGTTGAGTGCATTGCATGACACTGTGAGCTGTGGATTTCATTTGAACTGTGATAAATATTTTGTGTGTTTTTCGTTGGCACAGGAGCGGAGCAGCTGTAGGGTGACCTGTTTGCCATGAAGCTGAAACTAAGATTACCAGATTGTAGTCTCTGCACTACCGTATCTCTCAAACATAAAACCTCAGGCTAGCAGAAGACATGTAGTCACTAGTGATCACTAGATGGGTTAGATTTTCAGTTACCACTATAGCTACAATGTTTAATTTAACAGATGCTTTGGCGGCCAGGTTTATATGCATTTCTTTTATTTAATGCAACAGTCAGTAAAAGTAAACTTCCATTGCAGTGATATAACTTTAAATATTTCTTTTCTCTTATGTTACTGAAATTGTTTTTTTTTTTTAAATTTCATTTCACTGTTATCTCTTGAAACTTAGATTGTAAGATAAAGTCATTAAAGGAGATGGTTGCTTTATTAGTCAGATTTGTAGGACTGAATTGTTACGTGAGTCCTTGCCCGAGTCACTGCACTAAGTTGGCAGTGGTGCTATTTATGGGAAGAATTGGTCTAAGAGGCTCCTACCACTCCATCTCGGGTTGTGACTCAGGGGCCAGCTCCCACACCCTGTAAAAAAAATTAAATTATTTGCTACGCAAAAATTCTGAGAAGAGGCGAAAAGACAGTCATTAAAAATACATTTACATGGGATGTTGGATGGGTTGAGGAAATGGCATAGAAGAGAAACAAAGACGAAGGCTCATTTTTGGCTTGTTCCTCCGTGGCGTTCTACCACATATATGGCAGTAGTGGGGGACCAAGATGTGGTAGAGGATGGGAGAATAAAACTATCTTTCATTATTCTTGGTGAAGCCGGGCAATTAAATCTAGTTGCCTTAGTAATCTATACATAAATATTTTATTACAACATTATATTTTTGAAATATCATCTCTTTCTAGACCTTTGAAGGCCGGTTTGACCTGGAAGTGGCTGCTTGCCTGGCAGTTTTACAGGTGGTGAGAAAATATGGGATCCCCAAGGTCGTACCTAAGTGGCCTAATGATCTGTGGGTGAGGGGTCATAAACTTGCTGGATTTCTGGTTGAAGACGGGCGATTGGATATTCCAGGTATGTTTTTTGTTGTTGGCAGTTAGGCTTGGTAAATGGAGACATCCTGTGTGTTGGTGAAGGTGAACAACATCATTGTCAGGGTTTCTCGGACTCATTTATGGAAATGATGAACATTGATGAGAGAAGCTAAAGGTGCTGGACTAGATTCCTTCACATTATTAAACAAATTAGGGCCTGCGGTTCACGGGGTTCACCCAGCCTCTGGGTAATGGGTTTCAGAGTTAACACTGGGGTAAAGGGAGGATCGTCGCTGTAGCTACGAAGTTGCGTGGGGATGGCGATACAGCCGGACAGTTTCTTATCAGCTGTCCGTACTGGTGGCAGAGCACTTATGGTTTATAACTGTGTTCAGTGATGCTGGTTCACATCTCCCAACTTTATCTTTACCTTTTTTATTAAACAAATTGTTCATGTTTGAACATAATTGAAGAATTAAAAGGCTGAAGTAAATTTGAAATATTTACACTAATTACCTGCTTCATAATGGAAAGAGAGTCATGGCAAATCCATGCAATGATGGTATACTTTCATCACTTAAGCTTTGCATGACTTTGGAGACATCATGAGCATTGTCTGAAAGATTATGTTGTTTGCCTACTGGAAACAAAATCACCACAGCTCTCCAAGTTGTTTATGTTGTGTAAGTCTGAAAAACTGAAAGAGCATGCACAGATATAACAGAGCATATACACATGGAATTAAAGGAATTGGCACAAGACAGAAATGATTTAGTGGAAGGATCAGGACGTTTCTTGAACAGCTCAAGGGCTGAAATATTAGATAATGATGACTTTGAAATTCAGTGATTTCAAGATATGCATTGTTTGTTGGAAACTTCCCAAGATGATGGGAATCACAGGTGAAAAACTATCAAAATAAGTTAGTGATATTTGAGAACTGTTGCTGCCATTGCATTCAGATGTGCTTCTTCTAAAATACTCAAATATTAACCTGTCTGTAATCCTTTTTACATTTGTCCCTATTCCCTTCCTGATTTTTCCCTCAGTACACCTTGACATACTATTCGCATGTATCCACTTCAGAGCCCGGCTCTCTAGCGTAGTTGGCTAAACCGGATTGTGCGGTGAGCGGGTGACGAACTCCTTGTGGTCTGGGTTCACTCCCGGGGGTAGGCAGAAAAGCCACATTTCTCTTAGATTTACGGTTTTTAAAATGGAATCAAGTCCGAAAGGTTGCGATATCCATAATACTGAGCCTAAGGGTTAACAACTCATGGCTTCTGGATACTAAAACAAAACAAAAAACAAAACAAATCCACTTCAGAACCTGTATCATTTGTGTCCCACTTGCTGACATATTTATATTTCAATAGAAGAATTATTCATTACTTTAAGGTGGGTATGTTTACATCACAGAGTCTTTATGTGTGGGTCTGACATGCAATGATGATAATCTTGAAATAAATAATGAACCTGAAAGTTTTAAAATACAAAACCAATCTGGGATAGAATGAGTTAATTTGTTTATTATTTAATGCATTTTGAAATAAATTAGAATTACTTTAAACAAAACTGTTAACTTCTCAGGAACAACTGACTGCTTGTTTATTCTTGGCATGGGAATTAACGTGAACGCCGATGTCCGCAGAAGCAGTGATCTCCAGAGTATTGCTACAAGTATGGTCTGTGAGAGGGATGGTCAGTTTGTTGACCGGTGAGCATGAATGTTTTTCTGTGTGAGTTTGTAGAAGTTAAGACCATTGGTGTTGGGGTTAATTACTGGGTGGAAGATTCATTAAAATGGTTAGACCTATTTTCTCTTGCCAGTTTGTAATATTTCTGAGAATCTTTAGGATCTTTAGGGTTTTCATCATATTCTAAAAAGTATACTTTTTTGACTAGACATTGTGATTATAAAATGTTATCTTCCACAACATACAATAATTTAAAAGTAAAGTACTTCCTGCTGATTTTCAGTCTTTTAGATTGCAGCATCTTTGACCTGTATTCGAGGTGTACTATTGATGGACTTGCATCTTTTTGTCCAAATCTTGCATGAACTAAAAACGACTTTACCTGAATATGGTATAAGTAAATAGACCACCACTCAAGACAATATAATGTCTTTACAGTTAATTTTTTTCAGTCCCAGGTAGTTTCAAAATAGAAACTCAATTTGGCACAATAATCACAGTTAAAAAGGTATCAGTGTATGATTTTCTGAGCAGATTTCTTTTGTTTACCCAGACCAAAGATAAAATAAATAATAACACACCATGTGCTGCATTAATACACACAAACATATGTTGAGCACACATGGTGCTTTTACTGGGACAACAAAAAAATGAATACTAGTAGAGGACATATTATAAATAAATGATTTAATTGTGGCGATACACTTTTTGTTGTCTTAACTCTTTGAGTCCCAGGGGGTTTTGCATCACAGGCCCAGGGGGTATTAAAGAGAGTCATAAAATCGGCGCATCATGCGTTCTTTGGGCTTCTAGGTAGGAATCTATGAACGTATGATGCGTTCATTGGGACTCAAAGAGTTAAATTTGTTATATTTGGTTAACTTTTCAGGGAGAAGTTTCTAGCAGACGTTTGCCTACAGCTTGAACAGACACTGGCAAACAAGAAAGAAGACAATTATCAAATGTTTCTCAGAGAGAATCTCTTCCAGAAAGATTGTGACATCTCCGTATCAAACAACTTGGGTAAAATGTTGGATGGCAAATTTGTGACAATTTGTAAAAACTGGGATGTGAAATTTGTTGGTAAGTTGTTAAGTGCAAACAAGTGATCTTGATAGTCCCTCATAGTGCACTCTTTAGAATATTGACATGATATCATTGCTAGGATATCATGACACATGTTGCAATGACCAGGTTATCTTCTTCTTCTTCTTCGCGGATGTCATCAAGTATGTAACTGATTGCAATGACAACAGGCTAGGATGTCATCATATATGTAACTGATTGCAATGACAACAGGCTAGGATGTCATCATGTATGTAACTGATTGCAGTGACTACAGGCTAGGATGTCATCATTTATGTAACTGATTGCAGTGACTACAGGCTAGGATGTCATCATGTATGTAACTGATTGCAGTGACTACAGGCTAGGATGTCATCATTTATGTAACTGATTGCAATGACAACAGGCTAGGATGTCATCATATATGTAACTGATTGCAATGACAACAGGCTAGGATGTCATCATATATGTAACTGATTGCAATGACTGCAGGTTAGGATGTTATCAAGTATGTAACTGATTTCAATGACAACAGGCTAGGATGTCATCATGTGTGTTACTGATTGCAATGAATGCATGCTAGGATGTCGTCATGTATGTAACTGTTTGTAGTGACTACAGCTAGGATGTCATCATGTATGTAACTGTTTGTAGTGACTACAGCTAGGATGTCATCATGTATGTAACTGTTTGCAGTGACTGCATGCTAGGATGTCATCAAGTCTGTAACTGTTTGCAGTGGCTGCATGCTAGGATGTCATCAAGTATGTAACTGTTTGCAGTGACTGCATGCTAGGATGTCATCAAGTATGTAACTGTTTGCAGTGGCTGCATGCTAGGATGTCATCAAGTATGTAACTGTTTGCAGTGACTGCATGCTAGGATGTCATCAAGTATGTAACTGTTTGCAGTGGCTGCATGCTAGGATGTCATCAAGTATGTAACTGTTTGCAGTGGCTGCAGGCTAGGATGTCATCATGTGTGTAACTAATTGCAATGAATGCATGCTAGGATGTCATCAAGTATGTAACTGTTTGCAGTGACTGCAGTCTAGGATGTCATCAAGTATGTAACTAATTGCAATGAATGCATGCTAGGATGTCATCAAGTATGTAACTGATTGCAATGAATGCATGCAAGGAGGTCATCAATTATATAACTGATTGCAGTGACTGCAGTTTAGGATGTCATTAAGTATGTAACTGTTTGCAGTGACTGCAGGCTAGGATGTCATCAAGTATGTAACTGATTGCAGTGACTACAGGCTAGGATGTCATCATGTGTGTAACTGATTGCAGTGACAACAGGCTAGGATGTCATCATGTATGTAACTGATTGCAGTGACTGCAGGCTAGGATGTCATCATGTATGTAACTGATTGCAGTGACTGCATGCTAGGATGTCATCATGTATGTAACTGATTGCAGTGACTGCAGGCTAGGATGTCATCAAGTATGTAACTGATTGCAGTGACTGCAGGCTAGGATGTCATCATGTATGTAACTGATTGCAGTGACTACAGGCTAGGATGTCATCATGTGTGTAACTGATTGCAGTGACTACAGGCTAGGATGTCATCATGTATGTAACTGATTGCAGTGACTGCAGGCTAGGATGTCATCATGTATGTAACTGATTGCAGTGACTACAGGCTAGGATGTTATAACTGATTGCAGTGACTGCAGGCTAGGATGTTATCATGTGTGTAACTGATTGCAGTGACTACAGCTAGGATGTCATAATGTATGTAACTGATTGCAGTGACTATAGGCTAGGATGTCATCATGTATGTAACTGATTGCAGTGACTACAGGCTAGGATATCATCATTTATGTAACTGATTGCAGTGACTACAGGCTAGGATGTCATTATTTATGTAACTGATTGCAGTGACTACAGGCTAGGATGTCATCATGTATGTAACTGATTGCAGTGACTACAGGCTAGGATGTCATCATTTATGTAACTGATTGCAGTGACTACAGGCTAGGATGTCATCATGTATGTAACTGATTGCAGTGACTACAGGCTAGGATGTCATCATTTATGTAACTGATTGCAGTGACTACAGGCTAGGATGTCATCATGTATGTAACTGATTGCAATGACTACAGGCTAGGATGTCATCATGTATGTAACTGATTGCAGTGACTACAGGCTAGGATGTCATCATTTATGTAACTGATTGCAGTGACTACAGGCTAGGATGTCATCATTTATGTAACTGATTGCAGTGACTGCAGGCTAGGATGTCATCATGTATGCAACTGTTTGCAGTGACTGCAGGCTAGGATGTCATCAAGTATGTAACTGATTGCAGTGACTGCAGGCTAGAATTTCATCATGTGTGTAACTGATTGCAGTGACTGCAGGCTAGGATGTCATCATGTATGTAACTGATTGCAATGACAACAGGCTAGGATGTTAGGCATGGAGACACTGAGATGACTGCTGCAACAGAGGATGGAGCATGGATGGTTCGGACTAATGTATTAGGATGTTGATATGGATAAAAGTAACAAGATACTAATCATTATCTTTTTCTGTTATGTAAGTGTAATTCTGTAAAGCTGACCTATATATGCCTCTTATTTCCCATTTGTTAACATTTTTGCTTTTAGCACTTTAACACACTTACAAATATACAAAGATTAGTTTGGGTGCACAGATACTTTCCAAAATATTTCTATATTTACTGATTTCAATCTGACAGCTTTAAATTAATATGGACAGTCACTGGGTTTATGCTATCACAGCCTAATGCTCACAATTTGGTACCTTTTGCAGACACACTCACAGGGAAGATCATGAAAGGAAGTTCTGCAGTGTACACCGTTCGGCCAAAGGTTTTCAACAAGATCACACTTGTATTTACCAGCACACACAGCACTGATCTAGACAGTACCCTGTCCAAATGGTTGACGTCCATTGTTGACACCTCTAAATATATTGTGTGCTCAGTGCCAGAATCAGCTATCACAACAACAGGTATGTTTAAGATATTGTATCCTGTATACTTTTTTAGAAATATTAACTGCACAAAACACGCAAGTGTCTGAGCAAAGAGCTGTTAAATAGTCTGGCTACTGCCACTGCTTTGTGGGGTGAATTATGTAGTCAGTAGACAAATATATTGATGGCTTTCTGGGATCAGCAGCAGAATAGTGTATCCACACCTGGCAACAAATAATGTGGTGGGCAATGACCCCAGGGTCTGGATGACTCTGACCATACAAGAAAATCAAATCCAGACTCCATATTTTTTGACCTAGTTAAAAAAAAACAACCTTTCGACTCATTCATCTCAGGCCAACCTTTTCCAGTTTATGTAATCAATTACCAGTTTAAAAAAGAAAGTTCAAATAATTTTTGAAAGTAATCCTACATTTTATGTTAATGTTTTGTTTTATTTTAACCCACTGACTTCAGGATCGCACATTATGTGATCAGCCAACATTTAAACCTGGCTACCATGATCACATCCCCTGTGATTATAACTTTGGATGTTTGCCTTCATGTTAAAATCACAATTTTTGTGATAAAATTTAGTTGAAGCCTTTAGCCCATTTATTTCCATCATGTTTTTTTAAGGGAATCGATGGTGTATTGTTTATATGTAATTGTTTGAAGAATTTGCATGGTGAGCTCTCATTTTGGTTTTGGAAAAGATTATTTTTGCCTTAAAAAAAAAATAAAAAAAACTTTTTTTTAAGTTCGACAGTTCAAATAATACTGTAAGTATCAAATGGTGAACATCCAGTGAATTTGCAGTGTTATTTCACAGTTAGGTGGTGTTATTTCACAGTTAGGTGGAGCTGTCATCCAGGATTATTTCAGCCAAAAAAAAAAACCTGCATCGCTGAGTTCACCTCGGGAGAGGTCGAACCTAATGGGATAAAACTCTGGGCAGTGAAGTCAGTCCTCTCATCTTTGATTTTAACTCTGGTACATAATGAGTTTATATCTAATGCATTCAGATGCAGGACATGTCAGTGTAAGATATGGGCAGTACGACGGCTTGCCAGTTGACTTGGTGGTCGAGAGTTTCAGTTCCCATTGAGGCAGGAATTTTTGTAAAGTCTTATGCAATAAATCGCTCTCATTTAATGTCAGAAAGAGAGTGCTAAAATGTTACATAGAACCTGTTCTGCAGCGAATCTTTGACTGTCACTGAACAAATTAAGAAGAATTTGGAAGCAACAGAGATGTGGTTTCTAAAACTAATGTTACGAATACCTTGGACGGCCAGAGTAACTAACAAAAATTACTTGAAAGAGGCTAATGAAAGTCGATCTCTATATATAAAAATAAGAAAGAGACAAACACTGTACTTTGGCCACATAATGAGAAGAGGGACATTGGAGAACATTATGACAACTGGAAAGATCAGTGGAAAAAGGGGCAGAGGCAGACCAAGAGAGATGGTGCTGGATGGGTTAAAATGATGGCATGGAGGGATATCACCAAGAGAGCTGTTCCAATCAACCAAGGATCATGATCTTTGGAGACGCATGAGCGCCTACGTCAGTTGGCAAGGCACATAATGATGATGATGATGACTTGACCCCTTAAGCTGACCTTGCCACCCAGCTGAAAATCCTGATAATACTAGGAAATGTTCTGCTAAGTAACATCAGCAGTGTGGTATTTACTTCATTTTGGGAGACAAAGAATAGACCCACTGCCTCCCTAATAAGCATGTCATAACGATGACTAATTAGGGTTTTCCCTACAAAATCAGAGTTGTGAGGAACCAACAGTCTGCATACAGGAAAGAAAGATCTGTAAAATGGATGGTTAGTTGCGTATCCTTTACAGGACGTTGCAGAACCAACTCCAACAGCCCTTGGCTGTTGTGTGGTTTTTCTAGGCAAATCTACGTTCAGTAGTTTGCCATTGCTTTCTGGACGGTCGGCTTTCTTGATACCACTGTCGAAACCTAGGCAAGGCGCATGGCCCGCAGCTGGGATCGAACCCGCCATCCCAGAATTACGAAGCGTTCACATCGACTTAGCCACAGAGCGGACGTAAAACGGATGAGCAAGCAAAATTTTAGTTTTGGAACAAAACTGAAGATCAGAAGTGGCCGCGCTACGAGAACTTTCTGCCGGAGTTTACAGCTGGTGAACTCTTAGAAGAAGAGGGAAGGTTAACTTTTCCCCACTGGGTTTGATCCTGTGTAGCTCAGTATTTCTGTGCAAAGCAGTTGGCCACCTCTTAAGAGCATCACACAAATTTCAAACACCATAAAAACAAACATGAGGTATAAAAGCGAAAGTATTACCAAAAATAATGAATATTGATATTCTCTTGTTTTGTCCTTAAAGATGAATGGATGAAAAAGTGTTCGTTGCTAGTTTTGGTTGAAGATGTCAACAATAAAGAACTTGTCACCACAAAAATTGGCCTGTATTTGCAATCAGGAGGGAGTGTGATGGCGTATGGAAGAGCAGCGGCATTTGCGGCCGGTGTATTTGGTAAGACAATATTTCTCTTTCTTCTGTCCTATTTGATGTGAAACCTTCAAGAGAAAATCCAAGATATCCTATTCAACAATATAAAACAGTTATATTAGGGTTACTTAAGGTTATGAAGTAACCTGCTGTTATATGAATTCTTTTTCTCTCTTTTTTCACTGTACTCAAACTTTAATATACTCACAATATTTCGCAGTTACAGTGTTTGTTGATTAAACTAAGGTGTAGTATATTGTACACAAGCAACTGAGAAGTGAATACACATGTTTACACTACTATCCAATTGCAATGAATGTTTTTGTTTAAAGTGTCCAGTATTTTAAAATGATTACGGCAATCTCGCAACAGTCTGGCAAGTTAGAAGCAACAAAAGTACTAAGTTCAGATTCCTACAAACTTAGCAATTTAAATTCTTTTTCTTCTTCTTCTGTTGTCCTGTTCTACTTTTCAGAGGCCAGTTTTAAGGAGGCATCGGGTGCGAGCCTTGGTATGTGCTACCTAAATGCTGGTGTTTACGACGTCAGATATTCTTTCTATCCATCGCATGCATGGTCAACCTCTTGTTTTACCTTATATGGGTAAATGATCTTATTAGTCGGGTATCTATATTACAGCTTAGTGCTTTGAGCTGAAGCAGCTGCTTGGTTTAAAACTGATATCACAAAGATGGGCTAAGACACCCCACATGGCTGGTTTCAACACACTGAGCATGGCTGGTTTCAACACATTGAGCATGGCTGGTTTCAACACATTGAGCATGGCTGGTTTCAACACATTGAGCATGGCTGGTTTCAACACACTGAGCATGGCTGGTTTCAACACACTGAGCATGGCTGGTTTCAACACATTGAGCATGGCTGGTTTCAACACACTGAGCATGGCTGGTTTCAACACACTGAGCATGGCTGGTTTCAACACATTGAGCATGGCTGGTTTCAACACACTGAGCATGGCTGGTTTCAACACACTGAGCATGGCTGGTTTCAACACATTGAGCTTGGCTGGTTTCAACACACTGAGCATGGCTGGTTTCAACACACTGAGCATGGCTGGTTTCAACACACTGAGCATGGCTGGTTTCAACACATTGAGCATGGCTGGTTTCAACACATTGAGCTTGGCTGGTTTCAACACACTGAGCATGGCTGGTTTCAACACACTGAGCATGGCTGGTTTCAACACACTGAGCATGGCTGGTTTCAACACATTGAGCATGGCTGGTTTCAACACATTGAGCTTGGCTGGTTTCAACACACTGAGCATGGCTGGTTTCAACACATTGAGCATGGCTGGTTTCAACACACTGAGCTTGGCTGGTTTCAACACACTGAGCTTGGCTGGTTTCAACACACTGAGCATGGCTGGTTTCAACACACTGAGCATGGCTGGTTTCAACACACTGAGCATGGCTGGTACTCTTTTTGTTTTGTTTTTTACAGCTTGGAGCTAAATGTTGGTGTAGTTTTCTGTCATGTTTTGCTCAGTTTGCTGTACAGAGGACGATCCAGCAGAACGTGTTCAGTATCATTTGTGCTTAGATATTTACATAGTGACGAAGTAGAGAGATGAAGCTTATGCATATGGTATGAATGAATTCAAACCTGATTGTAATGACCTTGAGAAGGGTTCGGTTGAGAGTACTCATTTAAATATGTAAAGCCAAGATTGTATGTATAAATATGCAATGGGCTGTTTAGGTGATGAACGGGGAGAATGGAGAACAACAGGATCAATGACAGTTGAGACTGGGAAGAGTCAGAAACAATGTGCAGTATTATAAACACAGTCTTATTAATTGCAGTTTAGTATTGTTCGTCTGAGTAAAAAGTCAGTAAAGGACCCTTTTCTACACCTTTAGGTGTATGGGGCATATAGGGCAAGACCTCTACTTTATAGACCAATCAGCACAAGGTGGGTGATGTGGTCAGTGTCACGCCGGCCGCTTTTACTGCACCCAGTACCCACTCAAGGCTAGGTAGCCCTGGGAGCCAAAGTCATTTTTTTAAGAAGTTTGTCTCCGCCAGGGAGCGAACCCAAAGGGTACAGTGTAGATGTGCTGAGGCTGGTAGTTGGACAAGAGTAAGCAAATGCTCATAGATGTTATCACTCTGTTGGTGTGAGAATGTCTGTAGCAGAGATGCACTGAGCTGCAGAAATCCATGTTAAGATTTTCTTTGGAATAATGGCCTTTTTTGAACATCTGTGGTTTGTATGGTGTTTCTTCCTCTGTGGGCCCCAGGAAGACAGATCTTTTTTATATTCAACATATTCTCCTATATGTTACATTTTACTTGTTACTGGTTGTCTGTATTCACCTCCCAGCACATTGGCCCAACCCATTCATGCTCTGACGTCCAATGCAGCAGGCATATTACTGTCTCCATTCTCATCTTTTCCAAAAAGGGTTGACTGAACATCATATTTTGTTAGCCTCACAGCTGGTTTCTGCATGCTTGTCCTCATTTTATATTTTATATTTTACCTCTATACTGAATATCCATGCTCAGAATTTACCCCTGTTTATCTACTAGGTATCCATGCTGAGATTTTACCCCTGTTTATCTATTAGATATCCGTGCTGAGATTTTACCTCTGTTTTTCTACTATATATCCATGCTGAGATCTTACCCCTGTTTATCCACTAGGTATCCATGCTGAGGAAGTACTGTTGGAATCCTCACAGAAATCAGTTGTTGTGGTACCTCTGCGGGCAGAAACTTCCCTTTTGGAACCAGTCATCGATGGAAGTGTGGCCTCTACTGATGGCAGCCTCCTAGTAATTGATTCCCTTTCTGTCAGTGACGCTGGGTGTAAGAACACACCAAACAGTGAGTCTGTTGACCCTCCTGGAGCTATACACCAACCCATGGCTGTAACACAAGCTACACAACAGCTGGTGACTGTAACTTTCCCAGCAAAACCTCCATGCTTTTCTTTTACTGGAACTGAAACTTCAGGGTATTTTTGTCATTCATCTGCTGATCAGAATAAACTCCATTTGGAAAATGTCCCTTTTAGACAGTCACCTGTCTCAGCCGGCACCAGTAGCCATATTGTGCAGGTTAATGGATACCTCTACAGCAGTGACCAGGAGAGAAACCTGGTAGTGTTTACAGGAAATGTCATTTCTGGTGGTCTGATTGCATTGTGGGGGTTTAGTTTTTCAGATGTACTTGAAGCAAATGGACTTTCGACAGAAGAGATCAATCATGTAGCTGATGACAGGTTTAAAAGAGATGTTTTACTACAGCAAGTATTGGCGCTTCTTCTGAAATCATAAATATGTTTTATTTTTTATTTTTTCGGCATCGTATAGGCACCAAAAGTGTAAAAAATATGGGCCAGTTATTTATTATGTATCTCTTGGGCATTCACATGTGTTTTAAGAAGTAAGATAGCAATATTTTAATGTATGCCTGGCAGCATTAGGAAGAAATGTGGAGTGAGTAAAAGTAATTGTAATTAGTAAAAGCTGTTTGATTCTTCTTGTGCTCCGTACCCCATTGGAAAATAGGCCAACAGCCAGCCAACACCAGGCCCTCTAATTTTTTGCCATGTTCTACTTCTCATTCTCTGTCTTGTCAATCTGATTCATCTTGTCTCTAATTTTCTCATGTCCAAAATTAATTTAAAGTTCCATAATTCCAGTCATCATTTCTGGAGATTTCCCCTCTGTGGAAGGCGATCATACTATTTGCGGCTGTCTTAAAATAGCATCTTTTTTGGCAAAATTATCATCACTTGTTCTTGGTTGGCAGAATTGTTTTCCCCACATGTGTTCTAGATTATTCTGTATTATCTAATATATCAAATATATATCAGTAATGTAAATATATTTTGGGGCAGGTTAGTAAATATATGTATGTTATGTTATGATATCACAGTCAACATCATTGCACATTGGGCATTTCCATGTGTGCTCAGTCCTCCAATGTGGCAGCTACTCCACGGTACTTGTACTGACTATTCCCATCACCCACAGAATGCTGACCACATCACCCACAGAGTGCTGACCACATCACCCACAGAGTGCTGACCACATCACCCACAGAATGCTGACCACATCACCCACAGAGTCCTGACCACATCACCCACAGAGTGCTGACCACATCACCCACAGAGTGCTGACCACATCATCCACAGAATGCTGACCACATCACCCACAGAGTGCTGACCACATCACCCACAGAATGCTGACCACATCACCGACAGAATGCTGACCACATAACCCACAGAATGTTGACCACATCGCCCACAGTGTGTTGACCACATGTGCTGACCACATCACCCACAGAATGCTGACCACATCACCCACAGAGTGCTGACAACATCACCCACAGAGTGTGCTGACCACATCACCCACAGAGTGTGCTGACCACATCACGCACAGAGTGCTGACCACATCACACACAGAGTGCTTACCACATCACCCACAGAGTGCTGACCACATCACCCACAGAGTGCTGACCACATCACCCACAGAGTGCTGACCACATCACCCACAGAGTGCTGACCACATCACCCACAGAGTGCTGACCACATCACCCACACAGGGCTGACCACATCACCCACAGAGTGCTGACCACATCACCCACACAGGGCTGACCACATGACCCACAGAATGCTGACCACATCACCAACAGAGTGTGCTGACCACATCACCCACAGAATGCTGACCACATCAACCACAGAGTGTTGACCACATCACCCACAGAGTGCTGACCACACCACCCACAGAGTGCTGACCACATCACCCACACAGTGCTGACCACATCACCCACACAGTGCTGACCACATAAACCACACAGTGCTGACCACATCACCTACACAGTGCTGACCACATCACCCACATGGTGCTGACCACATCACCCACAGGGTGCTGACCACATCACCCACAGAGTGCTGACCACATCACCCACAGAGTGCTGACCACATCACCCACAGAGTGCTGACCACATCACCCACAGAGTGCTGACCACATCACCCACAGAATGCTGACCACATCACCCACAGGGTGCTGACCACATCACCCACAGAGTGCTGACCACATCACCCACACAGGGCTGACCACATCACCCACAGGGTGCTGATCACATCACCCACAGAGTGCTGACCACATCACCCACAGGGTGCTGACCACATCACCCACAGGGTGCTGACCACATCACCCACAGGGTGCTGACCACATCACCCACAGAATGCTGACCACATCACCCACAGAATGCTGACCACATCACCCACAGAATGCTGACCACATCACCCACAGAGTGTGCTGACCACATCACCCACAGAGTGCTGACCACATCACCCACAGAGTGCTGACCACATCACCCACAGAGTGCTGACCACATCACCCACACAGTGCTGACCACATCACCCACACAGTGCTGACCACATCACCCACACAGTGCTGACCACATCACCCACACAGTGCTGACCACATAAACCACAGAGTGCTGACCACATCACCCACAGGGTGCTGACCACATCACCCACAGAGTGCTGACCACATCACCCACACAGGGCTGACCACATCACCCACAGAATGCTGACCACATCACCCACAGAGTGCTGACCACATCACCCACAGAGTGCTGACCACATCACCCACATAATGCTGACCACATCACCCACAGAGTGCTGACCACATCACCCACATAATGCTGACCACATCACCCACAGGGTGCTGACCACATCACCCACAGAATGCTCACCACATCACCCACAGAGTGCTCACCACATCACCCACAGAGTGCTGAATACCTCACCCACAGAGTGCTCACCACATCACCCACAGCGTGCCGACTTGTCTATAAAATATATGTCTAGTACTATCTACAGTATACCTAAGGGTGTTTACTTTTTTTTTTTTTAAACTTTCTATTTTCCCCATTGGCTTTTTATTCTTCCTTTATTCCTTTGGCTCAGTGAGTTCTGGTAGAAGGACATTCTATTTATATTTTTGTCAGGTTTTCTCAGTGTGTGCCTTGTCCAACGTCATTGTCTTTTCCTCCCCTCTTGATTCACTGGAACTTCTTTCCCAAAGCTCCACATTAGTAATTCAGTACCTTTTAATTACCTCTGTTCTATAGATACACAAATTCATGAATGAATTTAGTTTTTTAGTAATAATTTAAATTGTTCTGCATGTTTCAGATCCATAATTCCTCTTTTGTCTAAGTTGTTGGTACATAATGTGGTTTACATCTATACTGCAATATCTGCCCCCCTCATTCCAACGCACCTAATTTCCCAAACCCCTAATCAGTCTCCTAAACTGGATCCTAGAACCCATGCGGGAATAGCTCCATACATCAATACTGATTTGATGTTGGAACTGAACATACACCATTCACAATAAACATATGCAACATACAGACACCCAAAATTTATAATAAACCTTTTGAGTACATTGATTACAACAAAGCAAAGGAGACAAAAATATGGATCAGTGTTTATGTAGCTGTAATGAAATATAATGTATTTTCATGTTAACAGTTTGTGAGTATATAAAAATGAACATAGACCATCAATTCTGAAGCAGTAAACCCTGTCATGCTCCCAGGTCGACCGAGGCCTAAATGGATACGAGGTGAAGTCCTGGGACGTAAAGGCAACCGGTGTGATATTGACCACATCATCCACTGAATGCTGATTTTTTTATTAAATATAGGTCTAGCCCTATATACCCAAAATGCCTGAAAGCATGCAAAAGACTTCTTTACTTTATTTTTTAACCGTTACATCAACTGCTGTGACACTTGAGAGTAATGCGAGAAGTTACAGTTTGTTGCATGTATTATTATTATTATTATATCTTTAATCAGGGCTTTCCTCCTAGAAACAGAGGTGCTGGTACTGGCCGTCAAGTGTCTTTAAAAAAATGGTGCCGGTACACACACTCACAAAAGTGTCTATTACAAGAGCGCTGAAAAATATTGAGAAAACGGTGCCTGTGCTGAATACCACTGTGTACCACCTTTAAAAAAAGCTGTGTGTTTAATACATGTAATGAAGATTCTTTGTTGGTGTTTGTTCTGAATACAAAAATGTCAGACACATTTTTATGTGGCGACTAAATATTCTTATTATTTCTAGATACTGGTTCAGACAGTATGTCCATTCTCTGTGAGTGTTTTCTTTCTCAACATCTTTACAGCCCTTCTTCCTTATAGTGTCATTTGTGTGTGTGTCTTTCTCTATCCTTTTTCTCAAAATCTTTACAGTCCTTCTCCCTGATAGTGTCATTTCTTTCTGTCTTTCTCTGTCCTTTTTCTCAAAATCTTTACAGTCCTTCTCCCTGATAGTGTCATTTCTTTCTGTCTTTCTCTGTCCTTTTTCTCAAAATCTTTACAGTCCTTCTCCCTGATAGTGTCATTTCTTTCTGTCTTTCTCTGTCCTTTTTCTCAACACTTTTACAGCCCTTCTCCCTGATAGTGTCAATTCTTTCTGTGTCTTTATCTTTTTTTCTCAACATCTTTACAGCCTTCTCCCTAATAGTGTAATTTCTGGCTGTCTCTCTCTGTCCTATTTCTCAACATCTTTACAGCCCTTCTCCCTGAAAGTGTCATTTCTGTCTGTCTTTGTCTGTCCTTATTCTCAACACTTTTACAGCCCTTCCCCCTGAAAGTGTCATTTCTGTCTGGTTTTTTTTCTATCATCTTTCTCAACATGTTTACAGCCCTTGTTCCTGATAGTGTCCTACTTGTCACTGTTTTGCTCTGTCAGTGTTTTTTTCTGTCTCAGCATTCTTTTGACTCCTCATCTGTTCACTCACTCAAAAGAAGCTTGATCATTTTTAGCATGTCATGCTTCAATTTATCACCCAGTGGTACAGAACCAACCTATCTGTATGCCTTTTCCTTTCCAAAGACACCCACATACACAGAAGAAAATATCCAAAGGACTACACAAAACCTCTGAAAGTGTGGTTGCTACTCTGCATGGATGATAGATCACGTCTGTCACCATCTTTCTTGACATGCTTTGTGAACTCAAAGCAACATCAGAGCTCACCAGCGCATTACGACTGATTCCTTAGACACTAGATTTATCTTCAGCATCAAAGATTTACTTTCTTCTTCCATTATGTATTTGAGGTCAAGGTGGAAGATATATGTACATAACAGAGCAGACAGCTCCCAGGTCGACCCAGCCGTGAGTAGGTACCGAGTGCAGTCCCGGGAAAGTAAAAGTGGCCTGCGTTTTATGTCACTTGATGACACATATTAGGTTAAAAACAAAAAGGAAAAATTTCATTGATCTATTTCTGCGTTTACCTTAAAGGCACATTATATTGTGGTTTACAGCTAGACTGATATCTACACATTTCAGATCAACACATTTGATTTCAGCAAACTCCTATTTAAGCAAATTTTATGGCATGCTTGTTAGGGGCAGCAGGTCTATTTCCCCCCCCCCCCCCCCCCCCCAAGATTGGGCTCCAGAACCAACACAGGGAGTATACTTTATCAGATTAACAAAAAGAAAGGACCTTTTTCCATGCCTTTAGGGGTATTGGGCATATAGGGCTAGCCCTATCATTTTATAGAACAGTCAGCACTTGGTGAGTGATGTGATCAGCATCAAGCTGGCTGCCTTTACTTCCCAGGACTTTATCAGATGATATCTACATAAATGAAGCATACTGCAGTCAAGGCATTTCACTCACTGAGAATTAAATGAGAGTGGCATGACTGAAATATCTGTGTGTGCGCTGGCTTCTGTGTATGCACCGGCTTCTGTGTATGCACCGGCTTCTGTGTGTGCGCCGGCTTCTGTGTATGCGCTGGCTTCTGTGTGTGCCGGCTTCTGTGTATGCACCGGCTTCTGTGTGTGCGCCGGCTTCTGTGTATGCACCGGCTTCTGTGTATGCACCGGCTTCTGTGTGTGCGCCGGCTTCTGTGTGTGCGCCGGCTTCTGTGTATGCACCGGCTTCTGTGTGTGTGCCGGCTCTGAAGTTCAAATTCACAGTTAAAGGCTTAGAATTTTGATAACAACCACACCATTGGTGTGTAAACAAATTCAAGCACATTCATGATTTGTTGGATACAGGTGAAAATTAGGCCATTTTTGCCATTTGCCAAGTTAGAACTCTCTCTGTCTATTTATTGCCTGAGTTAACACTTTTAAGGTGGTGTTGGACTGGGGGAGAGATAGTGCAGTTGCCACAAACTGTGCAAGTCAGGATTTCCCCCAATGACAGAAAAAAAAATCATTTCTTACTGTGGAACAAACAACCTCACCCTCAAGTAGGGTCCTGGAGCCCACACGGGGTTATCTCCCTTAACTTAAAGAATTTACACACACAAAATTAAAATGCTGTTGTGCCAGTGATATTATGTCATTTATTTCGTCAAATTTTCCAGTAAATGTTTTCTCTAAAAACTTAATTCATCATTGTCTATGTAATTTCTGGTACATTGTAAACAAAATTATATATCAACAATATTTGTCTGGTCATCAGTGAAGTTGACTGTAGTTGCTTTAACTTCTGGCAAGCGATCCCATGATTCCACACTTGATAGTTGGATTTGACTGTACATGGGTTTCTGGTCAGGGTATGCCTGTGTGTTTCTGCCCCCTGATATTTTCTCAGTCCAAGATGGGGCTGTTGTCATACTGCCTTTGTCTGTAGGATTCACTGAAAACTTCTCACTGGGTTGAGTAGTAGGTGGGGTATGAAAACTTGTGGAATGTTGGGAAGAAGGGTCGGTTTTAATTTGTTGATTTAGGTGCAGCTGTCTTTTACTGGGAACTGTGTCAGTAAGTGGGTTTTGTTTGTGAGTGTCTTTATTCTCTCTGTCAAAATTCATGGCTTGATGATGTCTGGTGCCCTGATTCACATCTTCTAAATGTCCGATATTATTACCCGTAGTTCCATGATTATTTCCTGTTTTGGGTACATGTTGCATGTGATCTATCTTGCTTCGCTGGACTGGTGAATCACCAGCATTTTCTGATATGGAAGAGTACTTGACAATATCTCTATGGTGGCCTGTGTTGTAAGTCAGCCCACCACTCTCTTGATGTGTTGAAGTGTCAGCTATAAAGGCATCTGTTTCCAGTTCATCTATGGAGTTATCATCACAGTTAGTCATGTCCCTGGGAAAGCTAGGACTCGCAGAGAAGCCATGACTAATGTGTTGTGTCGGTGAGTCCAAGAAAATCAAGGAATCTAAGCCCGCATGTTGACTGCAGCTGTCGTCGGGTGCCCTAATAGTTGGTAGCTGTTGTTGGTTGATTTGACGCTTGTCACAGGAAGTGACTGAAGTACACGTTGCATCTGTTGAGCCACCTTTTGTCGAGTCTTGACTAGAATTTTTTGTTTGGTCTCCTTCCAGATGAAACAGATGTTTTCTGCCTCCATGTCCCCGTAATGTTTGATTGTCTACATTTTTAAACAATATTTTACTTGAGACATCAACAGGTATTAATATATTCGTGCTTATTTCATTTTCTAAACTTTCTATTCCATCCAAGCTACCATTTTCACATAGAACACTGGCAGAATTATTTGTAGGCACCAAATCACTTAAAGTAGCATCTTTATTCTGAATGCCATTTCCAAAATGATTCATTCCAAAACTGTCCTTTTTGAGATCATATTTACTTTTATGATGTTCTTCATTAATGGAGTTATTTTCCTGCAGAGTACTATCACTGCTATTTAAAACTGAAGAATTATATTTGTTTGTGAAATGATCTGTCCAGAACAACTCTTGCTCACTTGCGTCCTTGTCTGTGGCATCTAGGGAATCAACCTTGGCATTAGTCAGACACTGATCAAGATTAGGTCCTGTGGCTGCCTCTGCAACAATATGTTTGTTGTTTTGATCAGTGCAGACTTCTTCAATGTCTGTGATCCCAGTTAACGTATTCTGAGTATTCTCAAAGCTCAAACCCGAAGTATTCGACATGGAAGAAGCTGACGTCTGCCGACATTTCTTTGGGCTGACTTCTGCTTTACGTCTGCTGTCTGTGAAAGGAAACAAAAAATAGTCAACAACTAGTGAAGATGATAATTTTTTTTAATTTTAGTAAAGTAAGTAAAAGACTTTTCATGCCAGTGGCGCATCAGGAAAATGATACAGCATGTTGGCTGCCTTTACTTTCCAGGAAATTACCTGGTTCCTGTTTTAGACTCGGTCGACTCTGGAGCCGAGGTTGTAAATGCTGGTAAAATAGAAATATGACAGTTTTATAGCAGATGTTAAAGTTGAGAGGATCACCTTCGTTCCATTCAGTTATCTACTATGGTTATTGCCTGTCACAAAGCACAAACTCCACAGCTCCAGCAACAGTCCCTATATATGTCCGTAAAAATTGCACCCACGAACTAAACAACAAATCTGTAAAACAAACCCACAACTTTCAGAGCACAAGGCAGATGACATGACCACTTTGCCAGGGAGATTTCACAAGTAATGTAGCTGTAATATGTGAACTGTCTATGGTAACAAGTTCACAAATCATCCGTGGCAGTCCCCAGGCACGTATGATTTGTGAATTTATCTACTGAATGAATGAATCAATGATCTGAATGGATGAATCAGTTTTGTCTATTTAATGAATGAATCAGTCAATCAAGAATTGACATCATTGTACTCGGGAAATCCCACATTTGCTTTTTCTCCTTCTTCAGTAGCCCAGAAAAAGTCAATATGCTAATAGTACCAGTTACAACATGAGTAAAAGTCCGCTTTTTTTCCCCCTCAGTGTTGAATGTCTTTGTGAGTCGTTACAGTTGCAACATGAGTAAAAGTCCGGCTATTTCCCCCCTCAGTGTTGAATGTCTTTGTGAGTCGTTACAGTTGCAACATGAGTAAAAGTCCGGCTATTTCCCCCTCAGTGTTGAATGTCTTTGTGAGTCGTTAAAGTTGCAACATGAGTTAAAGTCCGCTTTTTTCCCCCTCAGTGTTGAATGTCTTTGTGAGTTTGCTTTGTGATTCGTTACCGTTACAACAAGTCAGGCTGTGCTGCTCTCAGCCATAGAGATATAAGTTTTCCTTGATTGTTTAATATATTCTCTTACTCTTGGTTCTCTTTGAACAATCACATTGTCAAGTCGGACTTACCAGAAGTGAAAATGTGTGATTATGGATTGATCAGAACTAACATTATGACGTTTCTTGGGGTGAGGTTCGATTGCAGCTTGTCATTCAGGGAACATGTTGACCATGTGATAACAAAAGCATGCAAAGGTCTGGTGCAGAGTGGATACTTGTGCCTCATGCGCTTGTTTGTATATTTTCCTGTATTGCCACACTCAACAGGTGATGTAGAGAAGAGAACCCTGTTGCTGTTAGTGCAGAGGTGAACGCTCTCATCAGTGAAAATTCAGACGGAGCAGATGCACTAATCTACACAGATGGATTCGTTATATGCCAAAAAAGAAGTGCATGGGCATTCACAGCACGCTCAGCAGGCAAAACAGTCAAAGAAGCCAACGGCGCCTTCTCCGTGACAACCAGCAGTGTGACGATGGAGGTGTTGGCAGTGACGCAAGCGTTTGCCTGGCTTGAAACACAAAAATACACCCGTGTATGTATACTCAGTGATTCAATTAGTATGATCTGGAGGGTTCAGGCAGGTTGGGTGCGAAGACAATGGCTTAAATCATTACAGAAGTCCACTATGCTTGGAGTCACCTTTATTTTTGTTCTTGGACACGCAGGTGTCGATGGAAATAAAAGATCTGACAGGTTGGCTGGATTCGCTATCACTACCAACGGTCTGCCTATGGATCATGCTGATATTATCAATGCCCTCAGAGAAATGGGAAGGATAGAGGACTTTGGTGGCAGTGAATCCACATCACTCGCCAGAATAGCAGACTTGGGAATTAAGATCGGCATAGCAAAAAATGAGACGCACACCAGACACACCAGAAGAATTGTTAATCAACATAGAACTGGTACTATTAGCCATCGGACGTTGGGGTTCATACTGAGGGGAGGATCTGAGCACCTATGGACATGTCAGGAGTGCAGTGATGATAACCCAACTAACTAACTAATATTCTCTTACTTTTAACATTTGGTTAGAATATAATGAAGAAATCTGACTTCCCTCATTGGTCACTACAGTTGTGCATATTGCAATTTTTAAAGTAAAGCAGCTATGATTTTTTTTATTCATGATTATTTCTTCACTTTGTTATCTATTGTGAAACCTTCTGGTACTGCAAGAGTTGAACTTTACAAGAAAAAGTTGTACATACATATTTCCTGAACAGCAAAAGTGAGTAATCTGAAAATTTTGAAATAGGCTGAAACACAGGTTAACCTTGCAAACATCAGAAAAAGGCTGTCATTTTTTTAAAACTCATGAGAAGATTAAAAATACACCTAGAACATGTAAAGGAGTTATATACCTGTACATAGACTGCCAGGTATAAAAACACACACACACACACATGCACACACACACACATGCACACACACAAACCAGACAGATAAAGGAGATACACACCTGTACATAGACTGCCAGGTATAAAAACACACACACACACACACACACGCACACACACACACACAAACCAGACAGATAAAGGAGATACACAGCGGCACATAGACTGCCAGGTACAAAAACACACACACACACACACACACACGCACACACACACAAACCAGACAGATAAAGGAGATACACACCTGCACATAGACTGCCAGGTACAAAAACACAGACACACGCTACACAATTGTATCAGTTTTGTTTTATACAGCTGAAACAAATGGCAGTATGTTAATCAGGTTTGGGGATATATTGAGATAATATAATAAATAAATATACTTAACAAGACACAGCCTTACAGCTTGTCGAATCCGTAACTCCAGAATTGTTATCCAGCATTTCAGAGTTTCCAGCCACATTATCTGGAGTCCTTGCAGTACGATGTTTAGTCACGTCTCCATCACCACCATCAACTTCTTTCTCACTGGAAATTGCAGGTGAGGATTGATTTAGGTTGTCATTATTCTCTTGATTTACTGCTTGAGAACTTTTTCGACCAATCAGCCAGTAGGTGGGCATTTTGCCCTTTCCCTGGAAAGAAACATGAATAATTTTGCAGTGGGTTAGAAATGTATTTTCTACTTAAGCAGAGATGCCTGCACTTGTTGGGACACGTTTCCTACATTGAGGATGGCCAACATTTGAAATGATCTCCTTATAATATGGAAACAGATGAGATTTGCAGGCTAAAGCAATGTTATAAAGACCATGGAAACAGGACCTGAAAGATAACAACATTGACACAGACACTTAGGAGAGATCAGCTGCAGGCTGACTCCTATGGAGGCATACATGAAAGGCGGACTGTGGCAGTTCGCAAGAAGCCTAATAATGGAAGCTATAGAGAGGAGACGTCTGCTAGAAAACCAGCCTCACTATAATAAAGAATACATGCTTTCATGCAATCAATGGGGCATAGACTTCCATTCCTGAACAAGACTTTACAATCATCATATCACATGCTTTTCCCAAAACCAGTGACACAGCTCCATGTTCTTAGGAACTGATGGTTGCCTGTTATGGTTTTAGATAGTTTAGATGATGGATCAATATCATGGCACAAGTGATCCATTCTACTTCTGACTCAAGCCTATGTCCAAAGAATTTCAGCGCAGTGCACAAACTCTGTAGCACTGGAGAGGATCCTGAAATACTTTGGGTAGATATTTAACTCCAAATTTTGCTCGGGCAGTGCAGTTAGGCTACTTTTTTTTTCAATTTCCAACTATCAAGGGACTTTTTACCTGGGCAACAATAAACATGAGCATCCGGTCTTACTACCCAGAGACCAGGAGAAATTACTAGGTGTCCACGGGGAAAAAATCCCAGCCTGAACCCAGGACCTCCAGCACTCGAGGCGGACGCCCTGCCTTGAGACCATGCAGCCCCCCTGTAAGAGAGTGTACTATCAAGACAAGAAAGAGAGAGAGAGAGAGAGAGAGTCTGTGTGTGTTTTGGAGATCCATTGCAGCGAACTTTCATTGTAGAGATGGCACCTGATTAATCAGTTGATTCAAGAGGTGCATGACAACAAGCTGACATACATACCAGGAAGGAAGGAAACAACACCATGATCTGTACAGTTACAGTTTCTCAGGTTCTGTGCTCTCTGTCAGACACCTGCTCTTCTTATAAACCAACGCAAAAGTCATAACCAAGACTGAAGTACTGGAAGTGACCAAAGAGTAACCTATGATCTGGAAGTGACCAAAGAGTAACCTATGATCTGTTAACACTGTGCTGAGGGACTACCTGCCAACTTTTCTGTGGAGGGTTTAAGGGCCCAGTTATGGCCAATAATACATTTGCTGCCTCTTAACAAGCGTGTCATAGGAGGCGACTAAATAAGGTAAAGCTGTAAGCCACAACACACTGTGTAAAACAACATTTTCAGAGCAAGCTAAGAAAAAAAAATGAAGAGAAACCATCCATTGTGGGAAAGGGTAAGTCCCAAATATGTGGACTAGAATCTGCTGTTCTTTAAAGGTGCAGTGAATGTTTAACTGGAGGCTGAAAATACAGTTTTGTCCTTTATCTGACAGTTCCCTGGGTGAGCCCAGTATCAGAGCATCAATGGTTAGTCTTGTATTTCTGGAAGCCTCACCGGATGATGTTCTGCCTATGCCTCATCTTGAGGGCCAGCCAGCTTGCTTGTGTGTGTTCTAATAAGCGTGATGGGAAACGAGGGGAAGATGTGATCTCCTTATAAGTGTGATAGGGAAGGAGGGTAAGATGTGATCTCCTAATAAGCATGATAGGGAAGGAGGGTAAGATGTGATTTCCTAATAAGCATGATAAGGAAGGAGGGTAAGATGTGATCTCCTAATAAGCATGATAGGGAAGGAGGGGAAGATGTGATCTCCTAATAAGCATGATAGGGAAGGAGGGGAAGATGTGATTTCCTAATAAGCATGATAGTGAAGGAGGGGAAGATGTGATCTCCTAATAAGTATGATAGGGAAGGAGGGGAAGATGTGATCTCCTAATAAGCATGATAGGGAAGGAGGGTAAGATGTGATCTCCTAATAAGAATGATAGGGAAGGAGGGTAAGATGTGATCTTCTAATAAGCATGACAGGGAAGGAGGGGAAGATGTGATCTCCTAATAAGCATGATAGGGAATGAGGGGAAGATGTGATCTCCTAATACGCATGATAGGGAAGGAGGGTAAGATATGATCTCCTAATACCCATGATAGGGAAGAAGGGTAAGATGTGATCTCCTAACAAGCATGATAGGGTTGGAGGGGAAGATGTGATCTCCACTCTGAGGCTTGGAAATGTCCTAACAAGACTGACTTGGTTACCAGAGGATGAGAAGTCAAATGGATCAATGAAAATTTAGTTGTTGGCAGCTCTAACCTCTGGGGCTTAGAGGGTAGTGAGTGCATTTAACAATTGCATGATGCTTGAGTACTAGTGTCAGATTTCTGTAGTTTATTTTAAAAAAAAAGTTATTCAAGTTTTTTTTACAACAGTACGAGAGTAGCACCATGGAAGAAAGAGCCTATGGCTGCACCATGTTATGTTTCAAAATATAGCAATGGGCTTGCTACATGCAATCATAATTGTGGAGATGGTTCACAATAAAAAAAAAAAGGTTTAGCAGAATTAAATTGAAAAAAAAAAACACAACTGAATGAAGTTAGAAAATTTCTAATGTTGTTTCAATGTTATGTTATCACAACTGATGTCGGTGCACACTGGACATACCCATACCTGTTCAGTCCTCTGATGCAGCAGCCACTCCAGGCATTCATATTTATTGTTCCCACAAGAAGTTGGTTATAATCTCCTATATTGTGATATAGATAATCCTTTACCATGCTTTAATACCAGGTCATGTAATCATGTCAGAGATCTGTCATAATCCACTAGTTTAGTACACACAGTTTTGATGATATCTTCTTCATCCAGCCTGTGTTGATGATATCTAATTCATTCAGCAAGTGTTGATGATATCTACTTCATTCAGCAAGTGTTGATGATATCTACTTCATCCAGCAAGTGTTGATGATATCTACTTCATCCAGCATGTGTTGATGATATCTACTTCATCCAGCAAGTGTTGATGATATCTACTTCATCCAGCATGTGTTGATGATATCTACTTCATCCAGCAAGTTTTGATGATATCTACTTCATCCAGCATGTGTTGATGATATCTACTTCATCCATCAAGTGTTGATGATATCTACTTCATCCAGCATGTGTTGATGATATCTTCTTCATCCAGCATGTGTTGATGATATCTACTTCATCCAGCAAGCGTTGATGATATCTACTTCATCCAGCAAGTGTTGATGATATCTACTTCATCCAGCAAGTGTTGATGATATCTACTTCATCCAGCAAGTGTTGATGATATCTACTTCATCCAGCATGTGTTGATGCATTGCTTGCCAGTTATTCTGCTCACTTCAATGATTTCAATGAGGTCTAACTTCAAAAAAATATATCTTTGTTTTCTTTTGAGTAACTGAGCTAATTAAATGTAATATATTATTCTAACCATGTTTATTTCAATTATTATTGTTTAGATTGTACTGACCTTGACCTCCACCACTCCTCGTTCCTCCATGATGAAATCTGGATTCATTTTCAGTATTTCATGAGTGAAGAAGCTGACCTGAATTTTCTGAGCTGTAGCATGAAAAAAAAAAAAAAAAAAATGATTTGAAATAAACTCCACAACATAAGCATTCACATCGTTTCTACAAGACCTGATGGGGAAGAATACTTTTTCATAATCTGGATCATTCTTCTGAAGCTGAAATACTTTGCCTTCATTAATTTTACAGTGGTTAAAAGAAAATTGTCTTGGAAAATACTGTTCTTGGATGAATTCGCATGGACTGACCAACAGGACAGTGAAGACATTCTGGGCATGAAGAATTTATGAGGGAAGTGAACTAGTGACAGTTTAAGAGACTTTATGGCAGGCCATAATGAAAATGATAATAATAACTGAGACACATGAAATACAGTATGTTAATTTATTTTTAGTACTTTGTTATGAATATTAAGGAATTAAGAGAGCCTTACTTGGGCTTATTAAAAAAAAAAAAAAGTAATTGGAAGCTCTAGAAGTGTTAAATATAGCTTGGCACTAACAGGAAATAGTTTGTAAACTGAACCTAAAGTTTTGACCAAACAAGCACTATGAGTGACCTTAATAGAAGCTTATGAAAAGAAGTATAATTGATGTTTAAAAGAGGCAAAGAACAAATGAAACTCTTCAGAGGTATCCTTCAGCAAATCATGAGCAGAGATATGGTTTAGTGTGAAGAGAATTCCTTTAATTGTACACAGAGGTATCCTTCAGCAAATCATGAGCAGAGATATGGTTTAGTGTGAAGAGAATTCCTTTAATTGTACACAGAGATATCCTTCAGCAAATTATGAGCAGAGATATGGTTTAGTGTGAAGAGAATTCCTTTAATTGTACACAGAGATATCCTTAAGCAAATCATGAGCAGAGATATGGTTTAGTGTGAAGAGAATTCCTTTAATTGTTCACAGAGATATCCTTAAGCAAATCATGAGCAGAGATATGGTTTAGTGTGAAGAGAATTCCTTTAATTGTTCACAGAGATATCTCTATAAGTTCTGAAGTATCCTCCATTAAATAATACACAATGCATAAAATCCGTAGCACCAGCAAGGATTATAATTTCTCTAAATCAAAGTCACAGATGCTGTATATAATCTGGAAAACTATCCTAATTTAAATCTTTTGCCAGGGCAGCAGATCTGGCCTGCTGTTTGTGTTCTTCAACACAGATCTGGCCTGCTGTTTGTGTTCTTCAACACAGATCTGGCCTGCTGTTTGTGTTCTTCAACACAGATCTGGCCTGCTGTTTGTGTTCAACACAGATCTGGCCTGCTGTTTGTCTTCTTCAACAGCTGAGGGAATGAATGAACAAACTTTATTATCAAAGAGTCACAACTTGGACACACAGGCCCATCTTTTGTTCACCCTTCCAAACACCCATCTTCTGTTCACCCCTCCAAACACTCATCTTCTGTTCAACCTAACAAACACTCATCTTCTGTTCAACCTTCCAAACACTCATCTTCTGTTCACCATTCCAAACACTCATCTTCTGTTCAACCTTCCAAACACTCATCTTCTGTTCACCCTTCCAAACACTCATCTTCTGTTCATCTTCCAAACACTTATCTTTTGTTCAACCTTCCAAACACTCATCTTCTGTTCAACCTTCCAAACACTCATCTTCTGTTCACCCCTCCAAACACTCATCTTCTGTTCAACCTTCCAAACACTCATCTTCTGTTCAACCTTCCAAACACTCATCTTCTGTTCACCCTTCCAAACACTCATCTTTGGTTCACCATTCCAAACACTCATCTTCTGTTCACCCTTCCAAACACTCATCTTCTGTTCAACCTTCCAAACACTCATCTTCTGTTCAACCTTCCAAACACTCATCTTCTGTTCATCTTCCAAACACTCATCTTCTGTTCAACCTTCCAAACACTCATCTTCTGTTCAACCTTCCAAACACTCATCTTTGGTTCACTCTTCCAAACACTCATCTTCTGTTCACCCTTCCAAACACTCATCTTCTGTTCACCCTTCCAAACACTCATCTTCTGTTCACCCTTCCAAACACTCATCTTCTGTTCAACCTTCCAAACACTCATCTTTTGTTCAACCTTCCAAACACTCATCTTCTGTTCAACCTTCCAAACACTCATCTTCTGTTCATCTTCCAAACACTCATCTTCTGTTCAACCTTCCAAACACTCATCTTCTGTTCATCTTCCAAACACTCATCTTCTGTTCATCTTCCAAACACTCATCTTCTGTTCATCTTCCAAACACTCATCTTCTGTTCATCTTCCAAACACTCATCTTCTGTTCATCTTCCAAACACTCATCTTCTGTTCATCTTCCAAACACTCATCTTCTGTTCATCTTCCAAACACTCATCTTCTGTTCAACCTTCCAAACACTCATCTTCTGTTCAACCTTCCAAACACTCATCTTCTGTTCAACCTTCCAAACACTCATCTTTGGTTCACTCTTCCAAAAACTCATCTTCTGTTCAACCTTCCAAACACTCATCTTCTGTTCAACCTTCCAAACACTCATCTTCTGTTCAACCTTCCAAACACTCATCTTTGGTTCAACCTTCCAAACACACATCTTCTGTTCATCTTCCAAGCACTCATCTTCTGTTCAACCTTCCAAACACTCATCTTCTGTTCAACCTTCCAAACACTCATCTTTTGTTCACCCTTCCAAACACACATCTTCTGTTCATCTTCCAAACACTCATCTTCTGTTCAACCTTCCAAACACACATCTTCTGTTCTTCTTCCAAACACTCATCTTCTGTTCACCCTTCCAAACACTCATCTTCTGTTCACCCTTCCAAACACTCATCTTCTGTTCACCCTTCCAAACACTCATCTTCTATTCACCCTTCCAAACACTCATCTTCTGTTCAACCTTCCAAACACTCATCTTCTGTTCATCTTCCAAACACTCATCTTCTGTTTATCTTCCAAACACTCATCTTCTGTTCATCTTCCAAACACTCATCTTCTGTTCAACCTTCCAAACACTCATCTTCTGTTCTGTCCAAACACTCATCTTCTGTTTCCAAACACTCATCTTCTGTTTCACCTTCCAAACACTCATCTTTGGTTCAACCTTCCAAACACTCATCTTTGTTCACCCTTCCAAAACACTCATCTTTGGTTCACCCTTCCAAACACTCATCTTCTGTTCACCCTTCCAAACACTCATCTTTCTGTTTCACCCTTCCAAAACACTCATCTTTGTTCACCCTTCCAAACACTCATCTTTGGTTCACCCTTCCAAACACTCATCTTCTGTTCATCTTCCAAACACTCATCTTTGGTTCACCCTTCCAAACACTCATCTTTGGTTCACCCTTCCAATCATCTTCTGTGCACCCCTCCAAACACTCATCTTTGGTTCACCCTTCCAAACACTCATCTTTGGTTCACCCTTCCAAACACTCATCTTTGGTTCACCCTTCCAAACACTCATCTTTGGTTCACCCTTCCAAACACTCATCTTTGGTTCACCCTTCCAAACACTCATCTTTGGTTCACTCTTCCAAACACTCATCTTTGGTTCACCCTTCCAAACACTTATCTTTGGTTCACCCTTCCAAACACTCATCTTTGGTTCACCCTTCCAAACACTCATCTTTGGTTCAACCTTCCAAACACTCATCTTCTGTTCAACCTTCCAAACACTCATCTTCTGTTCATCTTCCAAACACTCATCTTCTGTTCATCTTCCAAACACTCATCTTCTGTTCAACCTTCCAAACACTCATCTTCTGTTCAACCTTCCAAACACTCATCTTCTGTTCAACCTTCCAAACACTTATCTTCTGTTCAACCTTCCAAACACTCATCTTTGGTTCACTCTTCCAAACACTCATCTTCTGTTCAACCTTCCAAACACTCATCTTCTGTTCAACCTTCCAAACACTCATCTTCTGTTCAACCTTCCAAACACTCATCTTTGGTTCAACCTTCCAAACACACATCTTCTGTTCATCTTCCAAACACTCATCTTCTGTTCAACCTTCCAAACACTCATCTTCTGTTCAACCTTCCAAACACTCATCTTTTGTTCAACCTTCCAAACACACATCTTCTGTTCATCTTCCAAACACTCATCTTCTGTTCACCCTTCCAAACACTCATCTTCTGTTCACCCTTCCAAACACTCATCTTCTGTTCACCCTTCCAAACACTCATCTTCTGTTCACCCTTCCAAACACTCATCTTCTGTTCAACCTTCCAAACACTCATCTTCTGTTCAACCTTCCAAACACTCATCTTCTGTTCATCTTCCAAACACTCATCTTCTGTTCATCTTCCAAACACTCATCTTCTGTTCATCTTCCAAACACTCATCTTCTGTTCAACCTTCCAAACACTCATCTTCTGTTCATCTTCCAAACACTCATCTTCTGTTCAACCTTCCAAACACTCATCTTCTGTTCAACCTTCCAAACACTCAAACATCATCTTCTGTTCACCCTTCCAAACACTCATCTTCTGTTCACCCTTCCAAACACTCATCTTCTGTTCACCCTTCCAAACACTCATCTTTGGTTCAACCTTCCAAACACTCATCTTCTGTTCAACCTTCCAAACACTCATCTTTGGTTCACCCTTCCAAACACTCATCTTTGGTTCACCCTTCAAACACTCATCTTCTGCTCAACCTTCCAAACACTCATCTTCTGTTCATCTTCCAAACACTCATCTTCTGTTCATCTTCCAAACACTCATCTTCTGTTCAACCTTCCAAACACTCATCTTCTGTTCAACCTTCCAAACACTCATCTTCTGTTCACCCTTCCAAACACTCATCTTCTGTTCACCTTCCAAACACTCATCTTCTGTTCAACCTTCCAAACACTCATCTTCTGTTCAACCTTCCAAAACACTCATCTTCTGTTCAACCTTCCAAACACTCATCTTCTGTTCAACCTTCCAAACACTCATCTTCTGTTCAACCTTCCAAACACTCATCTTCTGTTCACCCTTCCAAACACTCATCTTCTGTTCACCCTTCCAAACACTCATCTTCTGTTCAACCTTCCAAACACTCATCTTCTGTT